ATTTCGAGATTTGCAGTCTCGAAATTTAAAGTTTCGAGTTTCCACTCGCGAAGGCTATTACGCGCGAATAAAACGTGCAGAGATTTCGCTGATCCCGCGTAGAGAACAAAGGAACGATGGGAATATCAATGGGAAAGCGTGGATTTCCAAGGGAGGAAGATCATTCCGAGAGACGAATCGCGATCCATTCGGTTCTTTCGCGTCTTAGAAGACTAGTCTCCGCTTTATGGAACGCGATAAAACTTCGAGAGATCGTGGATTCTCATCTTCTCATCTTGTTCCTTTTCGTAAAAAGTGAACCCATTTCGATAAAACTTTTCGTTGCATCCAAGATTAACTTACATTCGAGCTACGCTCAATCGGATTATGAATGAAACGTACATTAATGAGACTTGGAAAAACGTCGATTTTTTGATAAACTGAAAAAAAAAGAACATGGTCGATTACTCTGGCATTTTCTGGTAGCGCGATTTCCGCGTTCCTCTTTTGGTTTACCAATTGTCGAGCTCCGTCTCGCTGTTTTTACGACGTCGTTAAATCCGTTTTTCTCTGTTTAGTATTCCTATTATCCGTTTCCGCGGTGATCTCTTGAAAATTCAACATTTTGCCCAAGATTTCCGCCCCCCCTTTTTTTTCCCTCCAAGCATAAATGGCGCAGAAGGAGTCGCAGTTACCGTAAATTCCACGGGAAAAGTTGGCGATGACGAGCGAGTTTACGAGGGAACGAAGACGTTCAACGTTTAACGATCGAAAACAATCGAGAGGCCGCGCGAGCGGAACGATATCGCGTGCAAAGGGAGCCGGCATAAAAATTTGTGGCCCATCCACGGAAGAAGAAGAAGAAGAGGGAAAGAGAGGGGAGGGAGAGAAGCGATCTATAGCGATCGGCTCCAGACGCTTCGAATCAGTATCCAAGTAGGAAAACTTTCCAATTCGCGTAACGCTCGAAATTATGGCCGTTGAAGAACTTTAACTAGCCGGAATGGCTTCGACACGTTCGATGAATTCCAAACGTTCGAGTTGGCGATAAAACTAGAACCATCGCTGTTCTATCTCCGCTATTTCCGTTCTTTCGAGGAATTTTTAAAAATTGTTTTCGAACACCGTACAACGCGAATATGTTCCGAAAGCGGATTAACGAAATTAATGATTAATGAGCGGATTAATGATTAACGATCGTGGAAAGGAATAGAATATACAAGGTTTAAGCAGAATTCCAATAATATATCATTTGTGGAAAAGAATTCGAAGATTTCACGCTCTTCTTTTAATTATAAACGTACTAAGAACAATAGATATAATTGTAACTCATCTTTGACATCCTCTTAACGATCCAAACTCGCTATCTAAGCAACGTGATAAACTTACTTCGAACACTTTGAACTTACAATTTTTAAATTTTCGTTGCGAGAAAACGGAAAGGGACAAAAATTATATACGAAAGGGAAATTGTTACATCTTTCGAGCAACAGTAGTAGGGAAAAAAAAAAAAAATAATAAAACGTTTATTTCGACGGATAAAATGGAGGATCGAAAGGGGGAAAGAGGGTGAGTGAAATATCTCTAAAGAGCTGTCGTAAAACTGGCCGCCATGAAACCCGTATCTTTGCACCCCTCGTGAGGGGGTGGTATGTAGGAATAGGGTACACGCGTGTGCCTCGCGAAACGACTCGTCGTGAAACGAAATCGTCTATACACGACGTTCGTCATAAGTATTTACATGTTTCCCTTTAGAAACGGGTCGTGGGAAGGGCGCGTCGTAAAAATCCGCACCGGAACGAGTAAGATCGAGGAGAGAATAAAAGCGTTGCGAAATTTATAAGGGTGGATCATTCTCGCGGAAGGAACGACGCCTTCGGGAACGCGAGCCAAACGGGGAGGAATTTGTTGTAGCCCCTCCCCTCTCCTTTCAAACCGTGTTACGCGGATCGTTTCGACCGGCGAAATATTGTTGAGGCTCCGTTTTTTTTTTCTTTTTCTTCCTTTTTCTTTTCTATTTTTAATATTTCACTTTAATGACTCCTCCCCTCAGAGGAATTTTTGAAAGTTCGGAAAAATTCATGAAATTGGCGCGTTCTCTTCACGTTTACTCGATCCTTTCGATTTACGATTTAATCGGAAAGTTTCACCGGATAGATGGATAATTTTTCAGATAATTAGGATACTATTATGGAACATCGATATTAACTCGAAGCAAAATATTTTTCCTTCTATCGTCTCCCCTTACGGGTTTATTCGAGGGAAGAGAAATACGATACAATTACCGCATAACCTGTATATCATCAACCATGAAAGAAAAATACTTGTCATCGGTGACACGTGACGTGTTTCGCCCCTCGACGCGAGGAAAAAAAAAAAATAAAGTGGCCGTGTCAATGGTGTAAAGCTCAGTAAGACAGCCATAACGGTTTATCTCCATCGTCCGTCGATCATCCTTACGTTTATTCTTCTCGGTTATGAATATGTTATCGCGGTAATCCTATCGGCGTAACGAGCGATCGTTGGATCGAGGAAAAATCGTGCAACTCGACCGATAACTCGAGGGAGTATTACAAAGGAGTCGAAGGGGGATTCTTAGTTGGCATTTACATGTTTCGATAGGTGGCGACCGATCGTAAAAGGCGGCGCTCGGCGCGGCGGGGGCGGGGGAAGAAAGATCAAATGGAGGAACATTGAATGAAGGGGACACGGGTCAGCAACGGGAAGGGCAACGGCTGTGTCTTTGATGCGAGGAGAAAGGGACAAGGGGACGCGTCTATCCAAACCAACGGCGACGTTCAATCGAATTTTCGGTTTTGCCGGTACAAAAGAGACGTCCCACGGGAAACAGATCGGCCGATGGACCGTGCTTTTTTAATCAATTTCCACCACG